AATCAAAGAAGAAGGATAGTTAAAAAAAATTTTTAGAATACTTATTTAGTTTTAAAAAACTTAAAATCTCACACTAAATATTTTATTAAGAAGTCTCACCTTTAAAACATAGCTCACAGTATGGGCGAAATTGCACACTATTGCTTACTCTGTTCGTGCGTGGAATAAAAATGTGAAGAGAAGAAAAATGAAAGGGAAAAGGATATTTGTTGATTTAAAAATTATATGTGGGTCCCACACCCTTTTTCCTCTCATTTCTTTCCTTTTTTTTATTTGCCTCACGTACGGATATCAAATCAGTTGCCACTCCCTTTTCATTCTTTTATTTTTATTTTATTTTTATTTTATTTTTTTAATATACATACACCTACACACATCCATGGAATGAGCTACCTCCTTTTTATATTTATATATATATATATATATATATATATTTCATTTCTCAATCTCTCTCTGTTATAGTTCTTTTTCTTCTTTCCTAATAATAATAATAATTTTTAAAAATTTTAACTTAAAATTATATCTTAAATTAATCCAATAATTATCTTTCAAATAATTTACTTACTTCTAAATATGTTCCAAAATTTCTATTATCTCAAATTAACTATTAAAATTTAAATATATATGTTACAAAAGACATATATTTGTTAGTATTGCAACCCTAGTATATTATGATGTTTGAATCACATGAATAATAGTATTCTAACTATGAATATGTGAATTGTTTACCCATGTTACTTGCATTTATATGATTGATTGACATACATATGTATAGCTAGAATAACATTGATTATTAGGTGGTTATACTCACTCATCTCTCTTTAATATTTATAGGAGGTAGCTCAAGTGAAGATCGAGAGAAAGTGCCAAAGGCTTAAAATCTGATAATCCTAATTATAGGCCTTTAGTAATTTAATTATGTGTATTTTGAATTGATAGTTGTCAACTAAGAAATCTCACATTCAGACTTAGTTGTACTATAGTTAAATTGAGTTAAATGGTGTGTTTTGAGCCCTAGGCTATTTGCGTAATAATTGTATTATCTATATAGGCACAAGCCAAATTACTAGTACAAGTAAGGAAACACTTAAATGTATAATTGTAATGAGCTATATAATGATTAATATGAAATGAACTCTCCCTTTTGTTTTTGAGATCAAGGAGTTGGGTATTGAAAACACAATGTGTGAATATTGTAAATATTGTGGTGTATTGCACAAGTGTGATCTAAACACAAATGTGAGTTGTTAGCACTTAGTGGTGAAATTGGACATCCAAGTTGTAATTTAACTGTAAAAAAAAAAGTGACTTTGTAAATGAGTGTCCAATCTTTAACTAAAAAATAATTTACGAGTAAAACTAATGCCATTAGCTAGCGCTAGAAAAGAACTTTTCATAGACACTTTAATCAGATGTTGGATGAAGAAATAGGGTGCATCAAAAGTTCATCCTGGATGTTGTCAAATTGATAACATTAATGTTATCATTATGTGTAATTCACCGTAATGCATGGTACAGAGAGGAGAAGCCATAATGCATAGGTGACAAGCCCTAATGCAACTCCTACTTATGTGCTAAAATGCTATTTTTAACTTAAATGCAAATGTTTTGAATACAGATTGGTATCCCATACTTCTGTGCATATTTCTAATCTAATTTTGATTTATGAAACTTATATTTGAGTGGTTTTAAAGTTATAAAACTTGATATCCTTTTTCTTTTACTTAATGCTTTGCAAACTGTAATGATTTTCTAAGTGATGATAATTCATATGGATTAATCCTGCAAGTACCCTAGAGTATTTGGATAAATGTTGGATTAATAAGAGAAATTTTACACATTTGGCTAATGAAGTGTGGTGTGGCAAGCCAAGTGGCATAAACCCTTCTCTTTCCTCTCGTCACTACAATTTTTCATAAGCTACATTAGCTTTTTCTTACCATCCAAGAAGAACTCTCCATTCTCATTTTTTCAGGAGATAGAGTTATCAACGATACCTAAGGAAGAATCCTTGAAATCAGATTGCTCCAGACTCCCCAAGCAAGCTGAATGCCTCTCCACGATGCTTTTGTCCATTGTTCGACTTGCCTCCACCACTCCCTCTCTCTATGAGCCACCCGTTTGCCAGATTGTTGTCGAAGTCTCCAAGAACCTTAAACGAGTCCTAACCTTTATTTGCAAGCCATCACCTTTACTGCTGACTTCCATAAGGTTTTATGAACCTTCTAGAATCTTCTATCAATGACATGAAGTGGCTTTTCAGTATCTTTAATTTTGAAGATTGTATTGAATTGACTCTCCCTCTAATCACTTACAACAACCTGATTCTTGCTTGAGTTTGATCCTCACAACCATAATTCAAATAGGTCAGCCTAAGGATCAAGCTAAGGCAGCCAATGAACTTGCTTTAATCATTAAAGAAAATGAGCATAACAAGATTATTATCATGGAAGAATGTAGGATTCTACCCGTATAAGTTACTGAAGGAGTTTGTTTCCCCTATACTTAACTTGCTACTGTTAATGCTTTAGTCAACATTGCTACTGACCAAGGAAAGGTTGATTTCACAACATCAAAGCTTGGAAAGAAGGTTGAGGCAATGTCTAATGTGGAGAAGGATTCACCAAAGTGAAAGGAAAATGAGAAGCCATTAATAATTCTAGTCGAATGTGGAGTCCTCTAGTTTGCCTTTGTTTCAATTTCTCTATTTTCAGCTTCTCATCTCAGTCGCTCTCATTCTGTCTTTGTCAGCATGGAGTGAAGCAAGATCACTAACGTGGAGAGTTTTTCAAAATTATGTTAGTCAAAGGTTGGAAAAGAATGACATTACTCCACTTTTAATGCTTCCAAGACAACATTACTCATTCTAAAATGTAAGAGTACTAATTGCTTGTTTGAAGAAACTTTTAGGGCATTTTTTTTGGCTCAACCCAATTTTATTTAAACAATTCAAAACAAAGATAAGCATTATGCACTTATCTCTTAAAATAATTACACATCTTCCAGTTTCAATTCACACGAGTGGTGATAAGTGATAACCAAAATGTGCTAGTATCATGAACAAGTAATTATATTTAAATTTTATATTTAATGTGCTTATTTTTAATTAAATTAAGACATGTGTATTTTTTTATAAATTATTTATTTTATAATAAATTCTTGTTATTAATTTAATTAACATATTAAAAGTCACTTGTCATGATTTGATTAGGTATATATTAAGTATATAAGATTAAGTATATAAGTCATACCCCAATTCTATTTAGCTAATCAGATTTGGCATGTAATTAATTCCATTATGTAAGTTCATTTATTATATATTAGTGTAAATTGACACCAAGAAATTAAATCAAAATCATTTATTGAATTTAAATATAATTCCCTTGACAGTAAATACAAAAAATTATTGGAAATATAAATTATAAAACACAGTTGAAGAAAAAGTAAACTTGAGTTTATTAAAAAAAAAAGTAAAATTGAAGAAACTGATTCGAATTATAACCAGCAACTGTATATCTATCTCTATGATAGTACGATAAAACATTTAACATTTACACTTCATCAGACACGCGCGCGCGCAACATTTATAAAACGTTGCACCATACATGTATCATGAACCATGCACTGATTACCGCAAATCCTATATGCAGGGCACGAGCCCATAATCTAAGATGGTAATTGGTTGTTGAGGAAAGATGAGAGCAGATCAGATCGTGTTCATTATTTTATTTTATCAATGAAATTTTTTGGATGAGTATATGAATTGAACGAAGTGTAAACAACAAATTACAAAAGGGAAAGCAAAAAAGGTGGCAGTCAAGAGGGAATAAAAATCCTTAATAAATCAAGCCATGTATGACCGACAAAGTTTGTCTATTGTATATGCACCAAAAATACGAGATTTCTTTTCGTGGTATTGTGAAATTCTTTACAATAATACTACCTCTAAAATAAAGTTTTTTTTCTCAATCATATTTCTTTACAGATTATTTGGTTAGTTGAAACGCTCTACTACAATTTCATATATTGTTGTGGAAAATGCCAATAAACTCCCCTAATGTTATATTAATGGGCTCTGTTCAAAAAAATCAATTGGAATCAAATTCCCATATTAAAGTATTAAAAGTGCATTCTTTGCATTTAAATATCAATAAGTAGTAGAGACTTTTGTCAGTTAAGTAAATGGTTGGGAATTTAAATTTTAACCCTTATATGTGTAAAAATTTAGTTGTTAAAAGTCTACACTTTACTCTCAAAATTTCAAGAGGAGATATTCTTTGTTGTTGATGAAGCCTACTTATTATGCTTTAAAACAAAAAAATACACACACTATTCATGAGTTGCTATAAATTTTATTTTGTATATTGGTATTAGTTATTTGACAAATTGAACCAAAAAAATTAAATTGAATTCATGATACCATACTTGAATGGAAGAGTGATGTGTACCCATTTCCATTTATAGTGTTTAATTATGGAAGTTCTTAAGCATTACTAAATTGGATGGAAGGAATTATAGTAAGCTTTAATTGAAATTGAAATGATTTATTGAACTAATATGGTAAGTGATAATTAAACTGACTGCCGGCATCTTTGAAATATTTTTCACCTAGTTTAAACTCCTTTGCCATTGCCCCCCCCCCAAAAAATATCTTTTGCCTTGTCCAGATTTACTGGAAATTCAGTTTTCAAAAATATCACTTTTAACCTGTTTACGTTTTTCATTTAAGATGAAACTAATTTATTGTTATTACTTTTTTATCATTTAACTTTTTTTATTATCTATATATGTAAATGCGATCAATAAATTTAAAATGTTTATGAACTATGTGGCCAAAAAAGAAATGCATAATCTAAATCTAAATTATGGGGTAAGGGGTCAAAGTGTAAATACGAAGAAGTAGCGGACGCTTTTTTGTGGCTCCCGGCCCCCTGATTCACCAAAATAATGACCCGAGTACCTGACCCAATTTTTTAATATAAAGACCCAACATCCTCCTTTCCCGTTCAAACCATCTTCCTATTTCACCCAAAGCTCAAGTAAAGCAATTCTCTCCATACCTTCCTCATCCTCTTCAATTTCACCTCCCAGTTGCGGCAACAATGGCTATGGCTTTCAAGATGGTACCTTACATCTCTGTTCTTTACTATGTCTCCTGCAATTTCATCGTCTTTTGACCTTTCTGTGTTGATAATTGTGCCGCACAGGCGACCACGGGAATGTGGGTGACCGACGAGTGCAAGAACTCTTTCATGGAGATGAAGTGGAAGAAGGTTCACAGATACATCGTGTTCAAGATCGACGAAAGATCAAGGCTCGTCACTGTCGATAAGGTCGGGGCCGCCGCGGAGGGCTACGACGATCTGGCCGCATCCTTGCCCAACGACGATTGCCGATACGCCGTCTTCGACTTCGATTTCGTGACCGTCGATAACTGCCGTAAGAGCAAAATCTTCTTCATCGCCTGGTCCGTCTCTCTCTCCATCAATCTCTGTCTGAGATAATTGGAAAATTGCAAGTTAGCCCTGATGATTTAGAATTGCAGGTCCCCGACGGCATCGAGGATAAGGGCGAAGATGCTGTACGCAACATCGAAGGATGGGCTGAGAAGGGCTCTGGAAGGAATCCACTATGAAGTGCAGGCGACGGATCCGACGGAGATGGGATTCGATATTATCAAAGAGAAGGCTTACTAGAAAAGACTGGGCTGCTAAATTAACCAAATAAAATAAAAATGACTTTCTTCAATGACAAATCGATGTGCAGATGTGATGTGGGTGCTTTCGCTTGCTTTCTAGGTTAATATGGACTAATCTGATGTAAGTGGGATAACTAATTGGTAATCATAATAATTGTTATATGTTATAAAGTTATGAGGAAGAGGAAGAGAGCTTGTTATCTCTTTGAATTATGAGTCGTGTTGAATGGATGGAGGAGTCTCACTTTCATGCTTCTTCTTCTTCTTCCTCCTTTTTTAATTAACCTTCGTGCTTCTTTTTCAATTCGTGCTTATCCCTTGACAAAGGTGGCTTGCTAGTTACTACCATGGCTAAGTTGGGCGGAGTTCAATTTCATTCTAGACATCCTTAGCAACAATTTTGGTTTGCCGGGATATTTACATGTTAGCAAATGAATGCTTCTATATATAAATTGCTTCCATAGTATAAAAATGAGCATAATTTAATTTGTTCGAAATATTTCTTTTATTAATATAATCATAAGTTTAGTTTATATTATGGGTATCGATTTCATTGACAACTCACAACATAAAATTCAAAATAAAAAAAAATATTAAAGATTAAGTTAAACTCTTATAATGTATTGATATAAATTAAAGCTGAAGATGTTCTACTACAAAAAGAAAAAAGTTAAGGATTTCTGGAGGGCTAATGTAATATGCCAATATGAAATAACTCATCAAGTGACGGAAGGCAACATATTCTGATGGTTTAGTTATCATTTACGTTGAGAAATTTCAATCTCCGGCATTTAATTATGGAAAGATGAAAAGAGATGGATAAATTAGTGTGTAAGTGGAATGGCCTGAGTATTGAAGGAGTAGTTTTTGCGGATGGTCTATTATTTATTATCTCGTGTAAGTGAGGATAAAAAAAAAAAAGAGCTCGAGCTGGGTTTCACATGCGTCAGAGCAGCCTGTAGTTAAGGTGAAGGAGAAGAATGAAGATGTATTTGAAAATGCAAGGGCCAGGTCCTGCCTGGTTACAGGCTAACAGGACCTTAACTAGGGACGCAAGGGAAGGTAGGGCCGGCCCATCCCCTATCTCTATTACATCTCTCCCACAAAACCCTCCCACCCATGGGACAGGATTTTCCGGCTCTCACTGTTTATTTTTATTAGCCTTTTTCCCTTCATCTTCACACTCATTGTGGGGTTGGTGGATGCCCGGGTTGGTGGATGCCCATATATAGGTTATCCAGGACCATACTTTCAATCAACCAACCATATTTCTAGTGACCCTTTTACTACTATCAAACATTTTTCTCATACATCAATTTTTTACTGGATAATATGATTTTGTTATTGATTTTATTTAATATTACTCCTAGCATTGATAATGCACTGATACTAATGATACAGTACCCCGACAAGTGGAAACTTCCGGTGTTGGTATGTTCAGGGTCAGAGGGCAAGCAGGAGACGCTGGCTGAACAGTAAAAAGTAATGGGTTGAGAATGAAATAAAACAAGAGAAGGCAGAGTAGGATTGACGTGGATCTTATCCGTTTATGTGCTCTAATGGAGCGTAGTATTTTGGTTGTTGGCCCTTTTTAAGCGTCCAGCTTCAATAGTAAGTAAAAGGCTTGATGTTGATAATCTCCAAATGATGCACGTAAGAGAGAAGGTGAGGGCAATATCGTGATTTTCCATTCGGGAGGCGTAATGAGTGAATATTGAACTTGGGGGCTGGCTTATTTAAGGTAAGAAATTCATGTATTTCCATTGGATGAGGTGGTCTGCATGGAAGAAGGATGCAAGTAATTGAAAACAAGCATACCGCATGCGTGCGCGTGCGTGCGCGTGCGTGCGCGTGCGAAGATAGGAACCAGAGTTGGGTTGGAGCTGAGAAAGCAGGTGCCAGCTGTGAGGTGGCACTATGAATGGGCCACGATGACTATGAAGGAGGAGGTGGGGTGGGCAAGAGTTGGATAGTTGGGCCACATAGAAGGGTGCAGGCCCATTTGGTGCTCGCTTTGTATCTTCCTCATCCCCAACCTGTGGCAGCTTTCCACATGAATGGCTCGAAAATCGAAATGATGACGTGTCCTCCGAACAAACCGAGACTTAAACCGATCTGGCGACCCAAGCAACATCCATTTATTATTATTTTTTGAAATAAGTGAATGATGGAACTGGAGAGAAATTATGGGCAAATGACAATTAAGTTTCAAGAAAACTAATTTATTAAACGTAAGTCCCAAATAATTTCATAACGCCAATTAAGTTTCTATGTCCTTAAATGATATTTTGACGCACTGAGAAAAGTCTAAAACACCATTGATAATTTAAGTAAAAATTTTTAAATTTTATAATTTTATTATAATGAATTTATATTTTTTTTTAAATTTAACAAGGAACACAATTTATAAATTTAACTTCTAATTTTGCAACTTCGAATTAATGAATTTATAATTTATTTTTTAAAATTTTAAGAGGAAATACATATATTAATATTTTAAGTTAAAAAATAATAAAATTATTACTCTAACTGCTCTAGGGATTTGCAAATTTGCTTTTTAATTTTGCAACTTTGAATTGAAAAATTTATAACTTATTTTTTAAATTTTAATAAAAAATATAAATGTTAATATTTAAAGTTGAAAAGTAATAAAATTATTGTTTACATAACTCTAGGGATTTGCAAACGTGCCTCCCAATTTTGTAATTTAAAAATGATGAATTTGTAACTCATTTTTCACATTTAAGAAAGAACATAAATGTTAATACTTAGAATCTAAAAAGCAACAAAGTTATTATTCTAATAGCTTTAAAAATTTGTAAGTTTAGCTTCCAATTTTGATGAATGTGCAATTTATTTTTTAATTTTTAATTTTAACTCAAGGATATTTAAGCTCATTCTTTTATAATCAAATTTGTCAAAAAAATGTATGGGACTTTGTTAGTATTTTAAAATTAATTGAGACTTAAATTAAATTACTTTATTTATTTTAGATTTAATTTTCATTTTCCCAGAAATCATTTATAAGAGAGATACCTGAGGGAGATGTTTTGGTGCGAAGGCAAGGCAGGTAATGAGGGGTAGACGATAAAAGGATGGATAATTTGGTCGGGCGGCGCAAGACAAGCATTAATATAGGAAGCAGCATGCGCCTTGCACCCTTCCTTTTAAGAAAGAATATTTATCCTATGTGTTCTTCACAAAACAAAAAATAAAAATAAAAATAAAAATCAAGTGTGCTAAAGATACTAAATTCAAAGATAATAATAAAGTCTTTCGGCTCTTTTGTCTCGATTCATAAGGATGTGAAGATGCAAAAAAAATTAAAACAAAAAGCATTTTTGATTAATGAAAATATGCAATACAGAGTTGTGCTGATTACAACTTAAAATTGAAAATAAATTAAAGCCTAAATTGAGAATATAAGTAAATAACTTAGAAGGTAAAATGAGTTTTGGCAAATTGTGTTTCTATTGATGATGATAGTGGTGGCCCCTACTAGTGATTTGTTTGAACTCCTTTTATAAGTGCTCATTTAAAATTGTTATGCCCAAAAGATTTGAAGCTTATGTGTGAAATATCCGAGATCACTCAACACAATCTTAAAAGATTTGTGGTATGTCAGATGATGCACTCACGTCCACTCAACAATCTTTTTTATTTAGTCATTTTGAATCTTAAAAATCACACTAAGTATGTATGGGGCATTTTTTCTTGAGATAATGGACTGGGCTTTTTGGTTATTTGGGCCTGTCATTTTAATTTTTTTTCCTTTATGATTTTAGGATGACACTTTGTTTTAAGTCCAAACACCATAAATTGAATTTAGAGAACAAAGATGAACAAATGAATCTAGGAATGAGGCTGCAAAACACATCCATCACTGGAAACAAGCGTCACTTAAAACTAATTCAAGTGGTGACAACCATAACTACCATTATACAAAAAAATACTCCTCCTTATCTTCTTACAATATACTTTTACTACTATCACCAAAATCATCAATCACTAAAATGCTTCAAATCCATTATTTTATCTTTAATCTAAATAAGATTTAAATTGGATAAATGAGCAATGTACCCTTAAAGTTATAGGTTGAGTAGCACTAAAAACTTTAAATTGCAATTTGTTTTCTCAACTTTTAAATCCGTTGCAATGTTTACCTATGTTAAGTAGAGCATAACATCCGTTATTTTATAGAATATCATTGAGACTTAATTGCATTAATTAAGAAATTATGTTAAAAATATTTAAAATTTTATTAATAAAAAAGGTTGTATAATTAGTTTATAATTAGCTAGGAGGTTGTTTAATTAGTTAGGGAATAAATATTTAATAAAAAATTATTAACAAATCAACAATAAGTTAGAATTTGAAAGTAGCTTCAAAGCTTAAGTTATTACATGGGGTACAATTTTTTTTTTGTTCAATTAAGAACTTAGCAGCTACAATAAATTTGGGTGGCCAAGGAGTCATTGGTTCTAACCCCCTTGGCCGCCTCTTAATTGGTCACTGGTGTTGAGAGTTTTAGTGATTAGTCATTGATGGTTTGATAACTGGAGCTCCGGTGGCCAGCAATTGTGGCTTGTGGTGTTGAATTTTTTAATACAATTATTTAACACTTAAAGTTATTTATATTTTAATTCTTTGTTCCTACAATTATTTACATTTTAATTCTCTCATCCTACATTATAAAACCAGAATCTTTTGGTCCTTTGTGCAAAAATATCGCTTCCTAGGTCCTCTAGTGTTATTTTCCATTAATTTTTATTTTATCTGTAAAAAAATTTTTGATTAATCTCTGCATATAAATAACATCAGAAAAAAAAATCAGAGAACAACGTATAAATTCTTATTAAATGGAAGAGATTCGAGATTTTAAATAATGTGTAATATTTTAATTTTGTGAATCTAGAAGTTTATGGTGAGAGAGTCATTTCCTATCTAGGCATGACAATATTTATATTTGAATTAATCCATCGTATCAAATAGTACTGAATAATCTCATAAAACAAATCAACTATTATGAGAAATTATTACGAAACACACAAAAATTTAAATTTCTATTAAAATTAATAATACAGATGTTTGATTTAATATCGGAGAAAGATTTCAATTTGTTGCACCAAGACTTAAAGAAAAACGAATTTCACCATTAACATTTAACCATAACTTTCTGTTTTTTTCAAACAATAAAAAAAAAGCTTGTTTCGTCAAAATCTTCCGTGGGACGAAGCTTAGGGAGATTCTGCTTCTCCCATTTCTTGTCTATATACTACTCCTATCTTTATTATAAAACAATTTTTAGAAGAGACAGGCAGTCTTTTTTTTGTTTTAGGTGTTTAGATATACATAGTCTTTATTATAAATCACTTAAATGAGGGATTAATTAAATTTTTATATTATTTTTTTTTAAAATCATCAATTATGGAAGAGATTGTAATGTAATTTTGAAATTTTTTATTTGAATATGAGTAAAATTGATAATTTATTATATTTTTAAATAAAACTAATAATGTAATTATCTTTTCTTAATTCTGGTGAAGTGATTACATGTGCTTTATAATAAAAACTGGAGTGAGTATATTAATTGTCTCTAACAAACCTCGCCTACCCGAGGTCTTTTGCGGCGCTGGACACTCTCCCCCCAGGCCCCACAACAGGGCGACCCCACCTCTTTCGGTGAGCATCAAGAGACAAAGGCTTCCCCGCAGTAGTTTGCGGATTATTCCCCTTGCGGAGAGCCTCCCCAGGTTCGATCCTCCAACCTTCTACATAACAAAGTTGAGGCTAAACCTGGTACCATTGAACCTGGTACCAGCCGCTGGACACTCTCCTACTTTGTTATGTAGGAGAGGTTGGAGAATCGAACCTGGGGAGGCTTTCCACAAGGGGAATAATCCGCAAACTACTGCGGGGAAGCCTTTGTCTCCTGATGCTCACCGTGCGGGGAATAATCCGCAAACTACTGCGGGGAAGCCTTTGTCTCTTGATGCTCACCGAAAGGGGTGGGGTCGCCCTGTTGTAGGGCCTGGGGGGAGAGTGTCCAGCGCCGCAAAAGATCTCGGGCAGGCGGGGTGAGCGGAGGGCTGTTACACTTTTTAGAAAAGTTTTTTGGTGTTTAATGTAAGGTATTTGATAGGTATTGATTATGTTTTATGACATTAACCCTATTTAAATTTATTAATTATAAAAAATATATTATAAATTTAAAAATATTTCATTTAAGTATGAATAGAATTAAAAATTTAATACTTCTTCCGTTTAAAAATATAAAGTATTTTTTGGAAAGTTGTATGTTAAAAACTATAAGTCATTTTTTATCTTTTGAGGTGTAATTATTATTTTTTTTAAAGTGTCCCTATTAAAAATGACTTCATATTTATTATAGGATATTTAATAAAAATAAATATAAAAATATAAAATTAATTAAAAGGTAAGTAATTATTTTATTGAAAGGTGATATTTAATTAAAAATATAAATAAATAAAATATATTTTAAAAAAAATTAATGACTTGATTACCTCTAATTGAAGGCTGGGTAGGCAATACAAAAAAAAGGGATGGCGGAAGCGGAGTCAAAGGAGGGTCTAAGTTTGAAGTTGATGAATTGGAAAGAGAGTATGAATGAATTGTAGTGAACGTGATGTGGGGGATAAATGCCTTGGAATTGCTGGGCGGTTGGATTAGAAAGGTCTGATTCAAAATTAAAAAGCATGAAACCAAAACTTGGTAGGGTTGGACTTACTAACACTTTAGCTCGATGTGAGAGATGCCTTGGATTTGTGAAAGTGACCCTCTTATCTTTTTTGCTTATTCATCACTCCTCAATGCCGACAACTTAAATGCCGCTGCCTCTCTTTTCTCCTATTCAATTTTGCTTTTATGCATTCTTCATTTTTTTCCTCTTTCATTATTATTGCATTTGTATGCCTTTCATAACGAGTCATTCTATTTATCCTTTTAAAGCAGTTAGTAAATTATATGTTATTTTTGTTAATTTCAGTTAAATCATTCTCAATGAGGCCCAAAAAAGTTAATTACAGTCAGTAAATCCAAAGTCATGTGGCAACAAGGGCAAGACAAAACACGATTCCTTTAAGGTCCACCCCCGTCCACACACCACCCAACAATATCTTCCAATATACTGAAGTGTCACTGCACTTCTGCTCCTCCGCTCTCCCACTTCCAAGTACTGCCTTCAAAAATGGCTCCTTTTCTTCTATGCCTTCTCTTCTTTTTCACCCCCGGTTTCGTTCTTTCCGCTCCTCAGTCTTCCAAAACCTTCATCTTTCGAGTCAATTCTGAAACCAAGCCCTCCGTTTTTCCTACTCACTACCACTGGTATTCCTCTGAGTTTGCCGAACCCACCAGCATTCTTCATGTTTACGAGAATGTGTTCCATGGGTTTTCCGCGCATCTTACGCAGGACCGAGTTTCTTCCATTTCCAACCACCCCTCCGTGCTCTCCGTCTTCGAGGATCGTCGCCGTTCCCTTCACACCACTCGCTCCCCGCAGTTTCTCGGCCTTCGAACCCAGCGAGGTCTATGGTCAGAATCCGACTACGGTTCTGACGTCATCATCGGTATCTTCGACACAGGAATCTGGCCGGAGCACCGGAGCTTCTCTGATTTGAATTTGGGCCCGGTTCCGCGACGCTGGAAAGGGGTTTGCGAGGCTGGAGTCAAGTTCACTGCAAGAAACTGCAACAAGAAATTAATCGGTGCGAGATATTTCTCCAAAGGTCGCGAAGCTGGTGCGACCTCTCCGGGTCCGATGAACCCAATCAACGACACCGTTGAATTCCGATCGCCGAGGGACGCCGACGGTCATGGAACGCACACGGCCTCTACGGCGGCTGGCCGGTACGCTTTTAGGGCAAGCATGTCTGGTTATGCTTCGGGAATTGCAAAGGGCGTGGCCCCTAAAGCGCGACTGGCGGTGTACAAGGTATGCTGGAAGAACTCGGGTTGCTTCGATTCTGATATTCTAGCCGCATTCGACACCGCTGTAGCAGACGGCGTCGATGTGATTTCCCTCTCTATTGGCGGTGGTGACGGCGTCGTTTCACCTTTCTATCTCGATCCCATCGCAATTGGGTCATACGGTGCCGTTTCCAGAGGTGTTTTCGTGTCCACTTCAGCTGGGAACGACGGGCCTAGTGGAATGTCAGTGACGAACTCAGCTCCGTGGTTGACCACCGTTGGAGCGGGAACTATTGATCGGGATTTTCCAGCACAGGTGATTCTCGGCGATGGTCGTAAACTCTCCGGTGTGTCGTTATACTCTGGAAAGCCATTGAATGGTAAGATGTATGAACTTGTTTATCCAGGCAAGTCTGGGCTTCTTGTTGATTCACTCTGTATGGAAAACTCACTCGACCCCAAAATCGTAAAGGGAAAGATCGTGGTTTGTGATAGAGGAAGTAGCCCTAGAGTTGTTAAAGGACTTGAGGTGAAGAAAGCCGGTGGGATTGGAATGATTCTGACGAATGGTATTTCTAACGGGGAAGGTGTCGTCGGAGATGCTCACGTTCTTCCTGCATGTGCAGTTGGTGCTGCTGAAGGAGAGTCTATAAAATCATATATCAAATCCTCTGTTAATCCCACAGCCACCATTGATTTCAAAGGAACTATGCTTGGAATCAAGCCTGCACCAGTCGTGGCTTCGTTTTCAGCCAGAGGACCGTGTGGATTGAACCCGCAGATACTCAAACCGGATTTGATCGCACCAGGAGTGAACATCCTCGCGGCTTGGACCAACGCGGTTGGTCCTTCTGGTTTAGACGCTGATTCAAGAAGAACAGAGTTTAACATCTTGTCGGGCACTTCAATGGCTTGCCCGCATGTAAGTGGAGCGGCGGCTTTGCTTAAATCTGCACATCCAGATTGGAGTCCAGCTGCGATAAGATCAGCGCTGATGACGACCGCAACTATATTTGATAATCGCAATCAGCCCATGATTGATGAGGCCACAGGGAACGCTTCTACGCCGTATGATTTTGGTTCTGGGAATCTTAATTTGGGTCTCGCCATGGATCCCGGGCTCGTATATGATATTTCTGGAAATGATTACGTTAACTACATGTGCGCAATCGGGTATGTGGAGAACGAAATTCAGGTGATCACAAAGATACCGGTGAAGTGTCCGGCTAGGAAGGCGGTGCCGGAGAATTTGAATTACCCGTCATTTGTTGCTCTGTTTCCGAGCCCGTCCAAAGGGGTGTCAAGAAAGACGTTTATTCGAACTGTGACGAACGTGGGAGCGGTGAATTCGGCGTACAGAGTTAAAGTGGAGACGCAGCCAAAAGGGGTGAGTGTGAGCGTAAAGCCTGCAGAGCTTATGTTTACGGAGGGTGTAAAAAAGCTTAGGTTCGCCGTGACGGTGACGGCAGATACGCGGAATGTGGTGGTGGGTCCGTCCGGAGCAGCTTTCGGGTCGGTTTCATGGACGGATGGGAAGCATGTGGTCCGTAGTCCCGTAGTCATTACTCAAGTAGTACCGTTATAAACTCCGATCATGCCTTCTTGATCGAGCCAAGCGAAGTGGAGAACGGTAACGTCTTATTTGCCTTTTCTTCCATTGTTCTCAGGAAGTAGTAAGGAGCTAGTTCAGAGATAGTTCTCTCTTTGTTGGTTTGTTGACTTTTAATTTTGGCCATAGCATGTGTTTCCTTTAAGTTAATTTCACCGTTGTATCATTTACCGAGCTAAAGATGTCTACTTGTATACTCTTACTCACGAAGTTGATTTATTCATAGTCATTTCATTGAGATTGACAATTATTTGGGACATGTCTGGGCAAATGGGCAGGTAGGGGTGGAAAATTGGCAATGACGTGACGTGCATTTGGACGCTAGTGAGGGTTGGTACAATCAGGTTGACATTTGACGATGGCGGCAACGTTATGATAGGCGAAAGTTGGGGGAATTTTGTGGTCTATCAGATAATTGATACTAAATTGACCTGTCAAAACTGACTCGTGGATCTTTCATTTTTTTTTTCCCTCCTTAGAGTCCATTAGCTGGTTCGTGTTCATTACTGTCTCTAAATTCTGCCTTGCGCGACCATCCTGAATCGATACCTCATGTCTCTGGTGAATGGAAGCACGATATGTTTTTTTTTTGGGTTGGATTTTTCTGATGTTTACAGCCTCTTAGAAGTCCGGCATCCTGGGGAACTCTTTAGAGTCATGTTACGGCGCGCCATCCTCGTTCGTGACGAGCAGGGATAATAAATGTATGCAAAACCTGTCTGGAAGTTCCACGAGCAATTACGTTCTCAAGGGGATTTACAGCTACTCGTTCTGTGGAAACACCACTTTCTATTAGCTGCATATAACACCTGAGTTGTTTTCGTATGTCGTTGCTTGTGATTCATTAATTGTCAAGATAGAAAATTACCTCAGCAACTGGAAAAACAAATTAGTTTTCTTTTACTTTCTACTTTGTATTACCTCAGCAGCCTGTCCTAGCAGGTTGGAACCGGTATTAAGTGATAGAATACCAAAATGAAATTTTACAAGGCATACATATTATTCGCAGCATCCGCTTAAAGTCTCTTAACGCGCAATGCTCTCACCCCGACAGGTATGAGTGCATGCTTTTGTATAATACTTTGGTAGCTTATGTGTAAAAAAAAAAAAAAGGTGGTGGTTCTCACATCCTGCTGGTCTTAGTAGCTAGTTTTTAAGGGTTTGTAAGTCTTGAGGTCCAAAACTACTCCGGCGATGGATCCGACAGCTGCTGCTATAGAAATGAAGAGGCAGGTCAAGCTGAGGATCTGAAGTCCGAGCCATCGACTCTTCCATCTCTGTATTTTCTTCTGGGAGATGTACATCTCAATTGGAAAATACACCGTCAATGGCCGGAACCCAAATGCTCCTAGGATTCCAACCACATCGTTGAAGAACGGCATCAGCATCGCTGTTAACGTTGTCAGCAGCACGAATATGGTTCTCCACACTAAGCGGAATAAGTTCAGTTGGTACACCCCATACAAGGGAATCGGAATTTCATGCTGTGCCGTCGCAAAATTACTCTTTGCCCACTTTTGTGCACTCCATTTCTCCACAAATGCAAACAAAGGCTGGCAAAACACCTGCTCTCGCATTTAAAAAATCAAAGTCTTGGCATCATTTTTCTTCACCAATAGAGGTGATAAAAGTTATAAATAATAACCTGATATGCTCCAACCAAGTGGACAACAATAGCGAGGTTGGCGATGTCTAGTAACCAGTAAGGATTGTAGAATGCAAACCCAGTCAAGAGGTTGCCGGGGGCGTTATCTCCAAATGCTGCATATCCCATGCACCCACACAGCAAATAGAACAGTGTGGTAATTGTGATGCCGAAGAAGGTGGCCTTTCTCATGGTTTTGTATTCTGCCGGAGGAGACTTCTGTGTGTCCTGCATCACAAGCAAATATTTCTCGTCTAAGTGTAAATGAATTTCCTTTGTCCCAAATACGTGTGAAGGAAGTACCTGAATTTCAATGAGGATGATGGAGAAAGAGTAAGCAAAAGCCGTTGCCCCGAGGGCTTGCAAACTCCTCCACATTTTCTGCGTGTCTGCCACAGTCCCAGCTTGTGTCACTGTCCCAACGCTAATTCCCATCATGCTTCCTTTAAAGCTTTTATTTTCTGCAAGAGTAAACCATGGCACAAGCTATCTCAGATATGAAAGTTTCTTTCCTATAAGTCGTGTGTAACAACTTTTTTCACCGAAGGATGAGTTTGGTTGTACCTGCAACTTTGCCAATACCGAGACCCAGACCAGCAGCAGAATAAGTGAAGGACATGATAGCCGCTACTATGGATAGCCACCACACTTGATCAAAGTCTGGGATTTGGGAAAGTATTATCTCGGCTACACCGAATGCTATCGTATACCCATTGCTTGACATGTGACACGGATCCTTTCCATGACTCTTATGATAACAGTTTGATCTTTTAATGGCCCTGACACAGTTAATCAAGTCAAGTAAATCTTAATAGAATTCATTCTGTGACATATTCAGATTGTGCCTCAACTTACATCATACTGACTGAGGCTGCAATTGTGTACCCTATCGCGATCCCAAACAGGTTCACGTATTGGATCAAGCCACATAATTTGACTTTTTTCCCTCCTGCAACCAAATCATTTTTTTTCATGCGCAGTCCAGAAGTGAGATTTTGTTGGTAAAAATCCTCGTACCTAGAGTGGACTTCACAGCGTCCATGTAAGTGTAATTTCGCACTCCGGTGACAGGATCACCAGTTCTGTAACACTGCTAGGAGGTTGGAGGTATAGAGGTTGACCAAGGCAAAGAGAAGCATCACGGCTGGGCCAGCAACCCAGCCAAGTTGGGCTACGGCCCATGCCAGTGATAGCACTCCCGACCCAATCACTGCGGTAATGATGTGGGCCGTCGCTGTCCAAAAGGTCCCTGCACTTCCATGCATATACTGGTTTTAACTATCATCTCTACTAATTTCAGGAACAGAAATTAAGCTTGCTTAATAACCTAGCCAAGGAGAGATTGCTGCAGAAGGAAGATGAGTAAAACTATGTTATCATATCAAGCAAATTGATTAATGTTATAGCCTGTTCTCTTCAAGCGGCCATCATCATCGAAGCACTTGGTACAGTTTGGCTGGATATCCACTGCGTGTGCCTCAGTTTGGATTTTGGGTTTCACTTCCACTTGCAAGCAGTGTCTAAAATCATCCCTCCCTTGTATCTGTTAAAAACAATGAAATGTCAATAATCGAAAAGAAAAGGAACGAGAAAAATGCCTCATTAATTGTGCGTGTGTAAATATATATATATATATGGTCTTACAACTCCATGATGGATTCTGCAAGGAAGGGTTCTACTTGTTGACAACATGGCTGGAAAATGCAGCGTGAGGGAGTAAGTGTTGAAGTGAGGGATGCTCTGATATTTGAGGATGAAGAGCGGGGTTATAAAGGACGAGATTTAGAACTATTGAATCAAAGTTGTGAAAGCTAGCAGGAGCTTAGTTATCTACATAGGACGGGGCAATGGCAATCCATGCAAAACACATGTAGCCTAGTGCTTGCTCCATGAACTGTACGTGACTTGATATTCCATTATGAATCTTGACTTTTTTCGGGGGGAAAAGATTTATGGGATCGAATGCAAGAAGCGAGACCAAGAAAGAAGAGATATCTTAGAAATATCTGAAACAATTAAGGCGTGTTCTCTCATTCTTTTTCAGTAGTAAAGCCTTGGGGGAAAAGACTTAAAAATGGTCAGACTTGGGAAGCTAGCATATTTTATTCATAAGAGAGCCGATCCACTCTTTTTTTTTTTTTTTTTTTATGAACGAACTGTTTCTGTATGCTCCGACACGAGTTCATATTGATCAGTAAAGTAATTAATTTATGACATCAAGGAGATGAAGCGTCCAATGCAATACATATATGTGTGCTAGTGTGCGAGTGTGTCTGTGTGAGTGTAGAGAGAGGGAGGGAGAGAGAAGCAAGCTCTTCTTTAGCATAAGAATTCACCGAATTTAGCATCCAACTCCTCTTAGTTTAGTTTAACTTATTAAAATGTTCACTTTCACTGCTTCATCCAACCAGAGATTAAGTTTCAATGCATGAATCAAGAGAATTTTGAATCCCATGGTGATGGTGATTGAGGTCGTGTGTCTCCACCATGATCAAGAAGCGTAATGGAAGCGTGGTAGTGTGTTAAACTATTTATTATTTATATTGGCTTAGTTTTTCGTCTCTGTCCTGTCTTTTATCCTTTCTTTCTGATATATATTCTTCTGGTCAAACCTTTTGGCTTTATATATATATATATATATATATATATATATCCAATTGCTAAATTTTGATTAATTATTTATTATAACCTTCAATAGTCAATAATACCTTTTGTGTTATGAAAACACTTTCCCACTTCAAATTTATATGAAAATTGCACCAAGCACTATATCAATTTTGTTGCTTAAATGTCCATGGAAATAGGTATCAAGATGTCCAAGTATGGGCAAATTTAAGATAATGTGATCTCATCTTGAATAAAATTGTACTTAATAACTGACATAAAATTAAAAAAAAATCATAAACTTGAGTTTTACTGGCCATATTAGGGATTGAACTGTCCACCTTCCCCATATAAAGAGTTTTTGACATTTATTAATACCATAATAATAATGTACTTCCGCCGTTTTTATATACAAGAGAAAAAAATTGTATCACACAATTTATAAAGTTAGTTAAGCTTAACAATTATGTCTGGAAATAAAAAATTAGACTAAAATATTTTATGTTAATCAATATAAGTATGCATTAATTATTTCTTGTTAATGTAAATTATGATGGTTGATTTAAAAAATACACAATAAATATTTATTGAAATAGGTGATTTTGCTTATATAAAAAAGTAAAAAAATAATAGTTTTTTTTACAAATAGAAACGAAAGGAGTAATTAATAATAACAATTACATTAAACATAGGAGTCAAAGAAGATTAATGTCTTTCATTTAAGACAAAAATCAAATCCTTCAATTCAGACTTGCATTTAATTAGGACTAAAGGGAGTATTATTTTATTTAAGAATAAATGTATAACAAATAATTATAACTTTATGTTATTTTAGATCACATCTTATTAAAATAAAAAGGGTGTCCTTAAGCTAGATAGTATTTAAGTAATCAGGCACTTTGCAGGTATAGTGAATCGTAGCATATTATTAAAAAAGTGTGTGTTGCTTACATGAATATATGTTCATGAAATGCCCCGGGGGGGGCGCTCTCAATTTTTTTTATATAAAAAAATAATGTTCAGGACTAGTTGAAATAATCTAAATTTTATTTTTTAAAAATACAATTCTTTTAATTTTCAAAGAAGCAAGGCATAAAATAAAAAAAATATTGATTTTAAACTTAAAAATAATAATTTAAATTAAATATAACCCGCGCACGCTTCAAAATGAATAGTCACGGATTGCCAAATATAAGCGGGGAGTGCATTTTCTTTTTTAATATTAACAAATATAAGCGGAGAGTTTGAATCTCACGAGCTTTTTTTGTGAAAAAGAAACTTTGATTATTCATTGTGGTTTGGGGCACTCAATTGCTTGATGACTCTTGCCACAAAGGATACATCTTTAAACCATTCTCCAATTCATCATGATTAGTGAGTCTACCACATATCTGTCATTATATATATAAATATCAGTAGACCTTCAATTTATACAACATGCTGTTAATTAAAATGAGAGTAACATAGTTAAAGACATAGGTGAGAGAAAAGGTAAGTTGATTGGTGACTTTTTTGTTTTGGTATAATTAAGTATGGATACGGAATGAAGGAATACTAATAATAATAATAATAATAATAATAATAATAATAAGAGAGTGAGGATGATAATGAAAGAAGACGAGAGAGTTGATGTTAGTGGATGGGAAACAGATAAGAAGAAATGCACAACTTGAGCTAATTCACAGATTTCAAATTCCCATTGAGTGAACTTTTGAATAATATTTGGCCCGTCTTATCCTTCCCTTCCCTCTCATCTAAG